TGTTTCTTTTTATTTCCCCCATAGAGTCCTAACTTCCAGTGAAAGTGAAAGTCGTTCACTTGTGTCTGACTCTTTGTGACCCCGTGGACTATACAGACCATGGAATTCTCCAGGCCAGAATACTGGAGGGGGTAGCCTTTTCTCAGGTGATCTTCCCAACCCAGGAATAAAACCCAGGTCTCCTGCATTGCAGGCAGATTCTTTACCAGCTGAGCCACAAGGGAAGCCCTAATTTCAACCTTCCCCTTAATTTAGGTCTCGAAGCCCCTTCTCTGAATTCCGGGGTAACATCAGGGAGCAGTCTTGGAGCCTGTGTTTACCCCATGTCACATGGAACCACATGGCTTGGGTCCCTGGCTCTCTCCCAGCTGGCCCTAGCTTCATCCTCCTGGTAAAGCCCACCTGCCACCACAAGGCCCTGGCAAGGAGCAAAGGATGGTAGCTGCTGATGGGCCAGACAGGCCCATTTAGGGGGCCCTCCTGTAGGCTAAGCAAATCTTGACCCCCGTCAGTCAGCAGACTTGTCACGTCCACTCTGCTCTGCAGGTGGGGACAGTTTGGCAAGTTCCCCAAGCACCGGCTTTTATCTGAACTCTCAGCTCAGACCGGCGCTCCAAGCTGCGCTGTGCTCAAGCTGTTCCGGAGCCTGGGGTGGGGTGGAAACCCTGAGTCTTCCTGCACTTAGATCTCCTCCTTAATTACTCAAGCTCTGAACCTCTGAATGGCTGGACCCTCAGAGCCTGGCAGAAGCACACATGGCACAATCTGTGGATTTCTCAGCCACTCAGAGATATGCCTTATGGGACTAGGACACGACATCCAGAGACATTCAGAAGGCAGGGTTCGCCCAACAGCAGGGGCTGGGAGTTAGGGCTTGCCTTCTTCCAGGGTCTCCTCAAACAGGGCTTTTCTCCAGGGGCAAGCTTAGATGTCTGCCCACAAGAAGCATTCTTGAGGTCCAGCGGTGTGAGATGGTGAGGGGAGTGTGGTCTGCCCTTTCACAGTTATTTTCCTCATCGCAGCAGGTCTGGAGTGAGGGAAGGATTCTGGTTGGACTGTGACAAAAGCTGTAGCTCTCTCACCAGAAAAATGCACAGCCACACGTTTTTACACATAATTTCATCTCTTCCATCAATCTCAGAAAATACTCCGCAGATCACCAGGGTTAAGAAGCTCCGCTTTAGGTGTCTTCCAAAGTGTGATACTTACTCCACTAATGGTGCTCAGGATTTCAGGGGATGGGAGGATGAGCATTTATTTTAACAGCTCTATTTTCAAAGTGCATGTAAAATCTGTGATTTCACTGGTAATAATGCCTAGGGCAAGTAAGTGGTAAAATAGAGAGTGCGTCTACTTATAGATAAACATTAAATAGTTCAAGTCCTATGCCAATTTGGAAAAACAACTGGGACACTGATTCATGAATGACCTAGGTCTGGGAAACACAGTTTCCATGGCCTTGGGAGGTCATTTCTTTCATATTTCTTAAAAAAAAAAAAATGCTGGTTGCAGCTCAATCAATGGGCTTCACATCCCCTGACAACGTGAGCCACTCTTACCTAAGCTTGGAGTGAGGAGCCCGGAGCGCCCGACTGAGAAGAGGGCCGGCTTCCTTTCTCAGCCATCCCTAATTCACCTCCTCGAGTCTGCTGCTGCCGCTGCTGCTGCTCAGTCGCTTCAGTCGTGTCCAACTCTGTGCGACCCCACAGACGGCAGCCCGCCAGGCTCCACTGTCCCTGGGATTCTCCAGGCAAGAACACTGGAGTGGGTTGCCACTGCCTTCTCCGCCTCAGGTCAGAGGCTGTAACAAACCTTGTCTCATCCCACAGTATGTTGGCTCAAACAAGTCTGACTTGTTTCACGTGTGTGTGCTCTCCTGTGAGTGTGAATGAATGTGTGTGTAAGTGTATATACAGAGAGGCTGTGGTGAAGTGGGGAACAGGGGAAACCAGTGGGGCTGAGTCTTGTCCCTGCAATTTCATGGCGGAGCTCCAGCAGGCTCCTTGCTGAGGCCTGCACTTGGGAAGAAGGATTCTGAGGATGGGCACCATTCAGAAATGAGCCCCGAAGAAGAGAGCTGATTCATGATACTCCCCTTCCCTGTCAAGGCCCCTCCTTGTCCTCACGTTATAGGAGCCGGGTTCTAGCCTCAACAGTTGTCAGCGTCCCTGGTCAAGTCTGAGGAGAGGAGAGAGGTGGAGAAGGCAGCACAGGGCTGCTAGGAGGGCTTAACCAGAAAGAAGAACAGAAGTGTCTTCAGGCCTTACAAGGAGGGCTTCTCTCTGACAGGACAGCTTCTCTAGATTTCTCCTCTGGCTACCTCTCCTCAATATAAAGACAATCCTACACGTGTTTCCAGAATAGAAATCTGCAGACAGAAGCTGACAAGCAACTGGAGTACTGGGTGATTATGGCCGTAGGTCAAGTTTGGGCCATGGGTTTGTAAGTATGATGTTAGTTTTCTCCCCCATATCCTCAGGCAGGGGCCCAGTTACAAGGACACCTGAAACACGGCACACTGGTGACAGGTGAGGGCAGGCGTAGGAAGCAAATTTAGACTCAGTATTCTCTGAAGGTCAGCTAAAGCAAAGCAAGTGAAAGTAAAAGTCGCTCCGTCGTGTCCGACTCTTTGCGACCCCATGGACAAAACAGTCCATGGAATTCTCCAGAATACTGGAGTGGGTAGCCTTTTCCTTCTCCAGGGTATCTTCCAACCCAGCGATTGAACTCAGGTCTTCTGCATTGCAAGCGAATTCTTTACCAGCTGAGCCACAAGGGAAGTCCAAGAACACTGGAGTGGGTAGCCTATCCCTTCTCCAGGGGATCTTCCTGACCCAGAAATTGAACCAGGGTCTCCTGCATTGCAGGCACATTCTTTACCAACTGAGCTATGAGGGAAGCAAAGAAAAACAAAGCCAAATCAAACCATAGTGCTGGGTGGCTAGCAGAGCCAGGAGGTGGGGCCATCTCAGGAGAGATACTCTGGATGGCGCTGGGAGGAGAGGTCACACCCTAGGCTCCTGTTGATAGGTTACAATATAGAACGCCTTCCATAAGCCATCACATGCCTAGAAGTCTCTAGTATTCTGGCCTATGCCTCTCATTTCTTGCACTCAACTTCAGTTAAACCTATGGCTAAGCCCCTTCGGCATGATCTGACACCAAACGTCAGCTTCCAATATTAAACTGGACTCCTGCTGCAGAATAGTGAGTCCTATCATTTTACCTATGAAGTCTCCCAAATTCAACCTTCCCCTCTTCTTGGTCAAAGCCAGTGTTACCTCTCACTGGGGCTACAGGCTAGCCTCCTGCCTGGTCTCCGCACACCCACTTTGGCTCCCTCCACTCCTCCTCATCACTGCAGCTGGGATGGTCTTCCAAAGATGCAAATCTGACCACGTTATATCTCCACTTGAATCTGTTCCTTGCCTTCCGGTTGTTCTTAGAATCATGACCCAAATCCTGAGCACAGCCGCCTGGCTGATCGGCCTCCTTCCACTTCCCTCTCCTTGCCCACCAGCTTCTGGTCACATTGGTTTTATTTCTGTCCCTTGACTCTGCCAAGTCCTTACCCTTCAGAGCCTCCAGGTATTCTGTTCCCTCTGTCTGGAGTGTTGTACTCACCACACTCCACCTGGCTAAAGCCAGGTATCCATTGATTAGCTCCCAGGGTAAACAGCACTTTCTCCAGAAAGTCCTCCCTGATTCACACTCTGATGGCACCAGGTAATTCAAGAACTACTGTAGCCTGTTGGGTCCATGAATGAGACCATATTGTTTTGTCCATTGGTACCTCAGTCCCTTGGTATCAGTGCCTAGCTCAGTGCTGCCAATCATTAACATATCAAGAGAGTGAGTGAATCAGTGATCAAAGAACTGGGCAGGATGACTCAGTGAAAAGACACCTGGAACAGTGAGTCAAGTCCTTTCATCCAAAGACCTAAAAGCATTTGCTGGGGCCATCTTGAACGAAGAGCTAGAAGCAGGAACAACTGTTGGTTTATGTCCAAGCATGATGGCTCCACTGTCCTTAGTCCTGCAGCTGGGCCTGGGGAAGGCCTGAAAGGTCAGTTTGCCTCAGGCCCAGGCCTACCTGGAGCCCAATAGATAAGATCCTCTCCCACACCCAAAGGTCCTTGGAATGGACAAGGTACTGATTTTGGAATCAGACACACTTGACTTTTCTACTATCTAGCTCAGATTCCCTCAGATCACAAACTGACCTCGAACTAGTGTTTCTTTGGGCCCCAGTTTCCACATCCTAAAATGGAGATAATAAAATGGAGAAAATAAAATACAGACAGCAGTTTGAATACCATCATGAGCCTGGAATGCACAGTTGCATGCAGCTCAGAGTGCTATTTCCCTCTCCCCAGCAAAACTGGCTTACCCCGTCACGTCACTCTGCTGGACACCCAGGCCAGCAGGCAGGGCATGAGACGAAGGGAGGTCTGAAGGGCGGGAGGACACAGGCCGTCTAAGACACTGCCCCAACTTTTCCACTCGGCCAGGGAAGCCCTGGCACAACACAAGGGTGGCACAGAGAAATCCAAACTAACTGAGAAGGGTGACCAGTCTGTGCATTTTGGAGGCAGGAGCAGTGAGATGGGGAGGGGAGGACAGGTGAGCCTGGAAGCTATTATTCAAACAGAAACGAATAGTAGTTGCAAAAAGGGAGAGGCTGATAAGGGAACAGGAAGGAAAGACTGGGTGTGTGAGGGGCTGGGGGGGAAAAAGTGATCCAAGACGTCAGATGGCCAAAGGCTGCAGCAGGAACCAGTATGAAGGAGGAGATACCTTGGGAGGTGGGAGAAGTAGCAGACAGCAGAGGGTCAGGGGAAATGCTGGAAAGGGGCAAATTCCTGGTTGGGGAGCCAGCGGGGGCTAGCAGGGGCTTGTTACTGGGCCCTCCTGGAGCGCAGGTGCACGGGGCTCGCGGGCAGTGGAGAGCCGGTGGTGGGGGGAGGAAACAGGGGTGTGGGACCACCGCCCGGCTGTACCTGGGGGTCTCCTTGCAGGTCGCCCACGTAGTACTGCTCCAGCCAGCGGCGCGCGTTGGCCGAGTGCCGGTGCGGCGGCCCGTCCAGGTCGGCGCTCACGTCCTGGCCCGCGCGCGCCCACAGCAGCTGCTCGCCCCCCGGGTGCTGCCGCACGAAGCCGGTGAGGTCGTAGAGGCGGGCCCCGCGGCGGACCCAGCAGGCGCCGGCCGCCAGGCGCCGCTGGACCTCAGCGGCGGAGAAGCAGGCGGCGGGGGGCGGAGCGGGGGCCATGGCGGGAGAGCGGAGCTCGCGGCTGGCTCGGAGGCTGCCCGGCGCGCCTCTGGCAGCCCGCGGCCGCCGCCGCCTTGACGGGCCGGCCGCCACCGCACCTGCTCATTTGCATGCCGCGCTCCCATTGGCCGCGCGGCGGGACTCCGCGGGGGCCGCTTCGCCATTGGCCGGCGGGACGCCTGGCAGACACTAGCGGGGCGGGCCGGCGAGGGCGCGCTCGGCCAGGTGGCCCGAGGCAGGCCGGGGGTCCGCGCTCCACCAGGTGGCCGGAGGCAGGCCGGGGCCCGCGCTGCACCGGGTGGTCCTAGGCAGGCCAAGGGCGCTCCCGCCGGGTGCGTCTCGTTGCACGAGAGCACAGGGGCAGGCGGTTGGAAGCGGGGCGAGTCCTCCCGTCGTCGGCGGCGGTCCAGACAGACGTGCTCCTTGGCCAGATCGCCACCGCCGCTGCCTTATCTCCGCCGATCTCCCAGATCGTCACTTGGGAGAAACCTTCAGGTTTCCATCCTTAGGCTTCAGGAGTGGGTGACGAGAAGGAGAGGCAGGGTGACAACTAGAGTAACGCAACCAAGACGCTGGCCTCTGGCGCCCCCAAACCCTGTAATCACAACACATAATATTTTAATAATAAATAGATAAATATTTTAATATTTCATAATGGGTTTCCCTGGTGGCTCAGAAGCTGAAGAATCTGCCTACCAATGCAGGAGACTCAAGAGATGTCAGTTCCATCCCTGGATCAGGAAGATCCTTTGGAGAAGGAAATGACAACCCATTCCAGTATTTCTGCCTGAAAAATTCCATGGACAGAGGAGCCTGGTGGGCTACAGTCCATGGGGTTGCAAAGAGTTGGACATGACTGAGTGACTAAGCACACACAATATTTTAATGTAATATTTTTAAAAATTATGTAAATGGGCTTAATGCCACTGAACTGTTTTAAGATGGGTTAAAAGGTCACTTTTATGTCTATTTTACCAGAATAAAAATATATATAATAATTTAAAAAAAAAAAAGGAGTACTGGCAAACCAGTCAATGGGCTGGCCACCTGCTTTTGTAAAGTTTAGTGGAACTAGGACTAGTGAGAGGAGTGAGGCAGGGTAGTGAACATGAAGGGTTGGATCTTGTCTTTAATGCTTTAAGTTTAACTATTTTGTTCATCATGGATTTTTTTGCACTAGCTTTGAATTTTTTAAATACTGCATTAATATTATTATTGCCATGCCGAATTTGGGATCTTAGTTTCCAGACCCAGGATTGAATCCTTGCCCCCTGCGGTGTAATACTCAGTGTAACACAAGAGTCTTAACCACTGGACCACCAGGAAGGTCCCTAAAGTATTCTTTATCTTGATTACTGAGATTTTTTGGCATACCCTTAAGTTTTGCACACAGAGAGACTGCCTGAGTCGCCTCAGTCTAGTTTCATCTTCTGGAGAGGGCTCTGAAGGAAGAACAGAGAATGACATTGCCATTACAGAAAAAGAAATAGGGATCTAAAGAAGTGAAGCCCAGTGACCATGAGGCTGGATGGGAGGCAAGACCAAGAGTGCTCACCCAGGTTTGTTTATAACAGGGAAGAACTGCACACAACTTTGCCCACTTCAGCTCGTGGTTGGTAATAAAAGGATCCTGGTACTGAGGCTGCATCCATTTGACTGGTTTTGTTCTCTCCCAGAAAAAGGTATTTTCAGGGTCGCCTCTGTTTATGCTGTTGTGGGGGTGGGCCTCTGTGCTGGGTCAGTGCTGTGGGAAGCCTGGCTCAGGCGCCCTAGGGGCTGCCCCAGCTACAGACATGTCCAAGGCCAGGTGGCACTAGTGGTAAAGAATCCGCCTGCCAATGCAGGAGACACAGCAGACGTGGGTTCGATCCCTGGGTCAGGAAGCTTCCCTGGAGAAGGAAATGGAAATGGCAACCCACTCAAGTATTCTTGTCTGGAAAATTCCATGGACAGAGAAACTGGCGGGCTTCAAAGAGTCAGACACAACTGAGCACACACACACACAAGGTTAGGAGCGTCGTCCTTTCTTCTCTCCCTTCCGAGCCTTTCCTGGCTCACCCTCCGGGAGAAGGCAAGAGTTTGGCTGAGTCCACAGGTTGGCTGTGAAATTGCTGTCTACCACCCATGGAGGGAGGCCTTGCGTCACTAATGTTGCTTTCTCAAATAGTGAATACCTAAACAGTCCCTCTCACCCTACTTTCACATCTACTCTGATCCAAATATCTTTCATGTGCAAAAGCATTCTAGCACTCATGGGTATCCTCAGGGACTTCCTGATGGTGATATCTGTTAGGATTTCCATATTTGGGTTTTTCACCATTGCCTTAAATTCCTATTATCTGAAGTTGAAGAAGCAATTTAGTCATCTATTCAGAATTATAACACATTTCTTACCATACTAATTCCACTACTAGAAATTTATAATCTTTCAGCTTACTGTATAAAGATGTGTAAGGGGAGGAAAAATAATTTTCCTTCTATCCTTTTAGGTTCTGGGCTGAGATACCCTCTGTAATAAAATAAATATTAACAGAAGAAAAACAAATTTAATTTCATATGTATGGGGCCCCACATCTATGAGAGCCGAAGAAGTGACCAGGGCAGGCAAACTTTGTACTTTTTACACAAAGAAAAAATAAATTTGTGAAGAACTGATAAGACAAGTTTGAGCTTGGAGCAGTAAATTAGTAAAGAAGTAACAAGGTTTGTTTATATAGCCTTCTCAGCCCTGAATTCCCTGTTTCTGATAAGGATGTCTCTCTATCTTCTGGTATAGGAAAGGCACATTTCATGTGGGAGATTTATTTCCTCCACTTAAGGTGATGAAGGAAGGTCAGAGTGCTTTTCCTGTACCAGCTGTTTTTTAAGTAAATTTAATTCAAAATAGTCAATATGCCAAGTGAAAGTGAAAGTCACTCAGTCATGTCTGACTCTTTGCGACCCCATGGACTATACAGCTCATGGAATTCTCCAGGCCAGAATACTGGAGTGGGTAGCCTTCCCCTTCTCCAGGGGATCTTACCAACCCAGGAATCAAACCAGGGTCTCCTGCATTGCAGGTGGATTCTTTACCAACTGAGTCACCAGGGAAGCCCCAATATGCCAAAGTGGCCTATTTTGTTGTGGCCTGTCCTGAACTCCATCAGAGGTGTGCATAATAATAATTGCAATACTGCTTATAGATAAAAAATACCCAATATTCATCCTTAGGGTGGACTGATTAAATAAAGGACGGTGTAGTCAGTGGAATACTAATCATTAGAAAGGAAGAGGTATACCTACATGTACTGATAGGGAACAATCTCTACGCTATTTTTAGTGGAAAACAAGAATTGCAATACTGCTTATAGATAAAAAACACCCAATATTCATCCTTAGGGTGGACTGATTAAATAAAGGACGGTGTAGTCAGTGGAATACTAATCATTAGAAAGAAAGAGGTATACCTACGTGTACTGATAGGGAACAATCTCTACGCTATTTTTAGTGGAAAACAAGAATAATCAGTATGCTAATGATTATTTTACTATTTTAAATTATTTAATTTTAAAAATATTTTAAAGGTTTATAAAAGAGTATATATAAGTTTTAAAGCAAAAATAGTATAATTCAATGAATTTGCCTCCCAACTCAAGAGCTGCGTGCATGCATGCTAAGTTGCTTCAGTTGTGCTTCAAATCTTTGTGACACTATGGACTGTAATCCTCTGTCCATGGCATTCTCCAAGCAAGAATACTGGAGTGGGTTGCCATGCCCTCCTCCAGGGGATCTTCTGAACCCAGGGATTGAACTCGAGTCTCCTGCAGCTCCTGCATCTCAGACGAAGTCTTTATCACTAAGCCACTGGGGAAGCCCCAACCCAGATACCAAAATCTGCAGATGCTCAAGTATTATATAAAATGGCATAGTATTTGCATATAACCTACATACATCCTCCTGTATACTTTAAATCAGATTACTTATAATACTTATAATACCTTATAATACTGAGGTATTATTAGTTGTGTCCGACTCTTTACGACCGCATGAACCGCAGCACGCCAGGCCTCCCTGTCCATCACCAGCTTCCGGAGTTCACCCAAACCCAAACCCATGTCCATTGAGTCGGTGATGCCATCCAACCATCTCATCCTCTGTTGTCCCCTTCTCCTCCTGCCTCCAATCTTTCCCAGGATCAGGGTCTCTTCAAATGAGTCAGCTCTTCGCATCAGGTGGCCAAAGTATTGGAGTTTCAGCTTCAACATCAGTCCTACCAAAGAACACCCAGGACTGATCTCCATTAGGATGGACTAGTTGGATCCAGTACTTATAATACTTAGTACAATGTAAATGCTATGTAAATAGTTGCTGATGCATGGCAAACTCAAGTTTTGGTTTTTGGTACTTTTGCAATTTTTTCCCCCAAATATTTTTGATTTGCAGTTGGTTGAATCCACAGATTCAATCCACAGATATGGAGAGCCAACTATACAGTTCTATGAGTTATGGGGATCTTTTATACTATTATAAAGATCAGGAATTTTTTTGTTTGTTTCTCCTTTTGCCAATACCACATTGTCTTTTATTATTATAACTTTATAATAAATCTTGGTATCTGGTAAGTCTACTGTTCACACCCTGCTCTCCTTTAGAGGGTGTCTTGGTTTCTATTTGGGTTTTTCTTTTTTCACATAAACTTTAGAATTAATGTATCAATGTCCATGAAAAAGCCTATTCAGATTATTAAAGGAACTACATTGACTCTATAGATTAATTTGGAAAGGACTGATATGTATGCAAGGTGGCACTACTGGTAAGGAATCCACCTGCCAATGCAGGAGACATAAGAAATGCAGGTTTGATCCCTGGGTTGAGAAGAGCCCCTAGAGAAGGAAATGGCAACCCACTCCAGTATTCTTGGCATGGAAAAATCCCAAGGACAGAGGAGCCTGGTGGGCCACAGTCCATGGGGTCTCCAAGAGTTGGGCACAACTGAGCACATACACACACACACACACACA